CCCGCCCCTACCCGAACCTCAAGCGCTCTCTTTCCTGTGTTTTAACGTCCCCTGAAGCATCCTGGTCCCACTCTGTGGGTCTCTCTTTGGACGAGCCTGGAGGCCTGTCCGCCTCCCTGTGGGTGGGTCTCTCCGGCGCTCACTGGGCCCCCCTCTGTGTAGATCTCTCTCGCCTGTGTATCTCCCTTGTGCATCTTTGTGGTTTCTCATCCTGTTTCTGTATATTCGTGTCTTCATCCCTTTCCCTCGTTAAGACTGTTGGCCTTGGAGTCAGAGATCCCTGGGCTTGCATTTCACTTCTGTCTCATACCTGGGCAAGTCATTTAACTTTGGGGCCTGTTTCTGCACTCTAAAATAAAGATATTCATTCTTAATCACATGGAATTATTTGGGAAAGAACAGGGACCCCATGCATGGAATGAGCACAGTCCTGGGGCGCTATGGGAGCTCGGCAAAAATCTTTCTCTTCACCTGGGAGGGGTTGTTTCTTTTAATGTGGCTCTTTCTCTTCCTCTTTACTGCCCGGGGAGTGTTCATGAGAGTAGATGGCCTCTCTGGGTGTGTCTCTCTTTTTTCTGAATATCCCAGCCCCTGGCCCTTGGTTATATGTGTGTTCTTGGCTTTCTGGCCGGTGGCAGTCTCAGCTCTGGTTGTGAGTCATCTGGTTGTTCTCATCTTGGGGTAGTGCTTCTCCGGGGCCTGTGTGTACGGCAGGTCAGTTGCCCATGTGCTGGGTGGAAGTTTCGTTGCTGTCTGTGTCCTCCCCACTGCGGGCTGGCGTGCTTCTTTCCATCATGGTGTGCCGCCTCCGATGTCCTGCCTGTGCCGGGCATCTGCACAAATTCGGGTCCCTCTGCTGTGTATCTTGACTTCAGGTGTGGCGCGTGGAGGCACTGGGGCGTACAGACCTGACTCTCGGGGCGGGGTGTGTGTGTGTATCAGTTCCTGTCATCTTGACACTGACCCTGGCTGCTGCAGCAGTTAGACTGCGCCCCCTCCCTGGCTGTGTTCACACTGGCTCTTGGGCAGAAGCAGTTTCCTGGGACCAGAGGGAGAACATGCCCTTCTCGGGGGGGGGGGGGGGTCACAACTGGCAGGGACCATCCTCCCTGGGCAAAGGATCTGCTTCCTGCTCTTCTCCTGGGTCCGCCTGGGTATTGCCCACCCAGGGCAGAGATCTGCAGAGATGGCATGGCAGAACCCTGCTGCACATCCGCTTTGTGGTTTTGAATCATCAGGGCAGCTTCGTTCTTCTCTAGCTGCTTCTGGCCTGAGTTACATGTCCTTGCAGCCTCAGATGCGTGTCCTCCCTGCCTTGAAGCTGGAGTGTCCTTGCCACATCACCCCTTTTTTGCCCTCCAGGCAGCCCTCTGCCTTAGAGGGTCTCTACTCCAGTCCTTACCATCATGAAGGTTACTGTGAGCTGGTGTCAGGTGCGGGCAGGGAGCTGGCAGACCTGGGCATTCTAGGGCCCCAGCACTCCCCCATTCTCAGGGCTCCGGACCTCATTCTGCCCATCTGTCAATAGCAGGCAGTGCCGTCCCACAGAACTTTCTGCAGTGGTGGCAATGTTCTGTATTTGTGCTTTTAATATGGTAGCCATGTGTGGTTGTTGAGCTCTTGAAATGTGGTTCCTACAACCAATGGGCTAAATGTTTAATTTGACTGAATTTAAGTTAGGACTTCCCTGTTGGCTCAGATGGTAAAGAACCTGCCTGCAATGCAGGAGGACCCAGGTTTGATCCTTGGGTGGGGAAGAGCCCCTGGAGGGGGGAATGGCAACCCACTGCGGTATTCTTGCCTGGAAAATCCTACGGATAGAGGAGCCACATGTGGCCTTTATAAAGGGTTCTTCCAGCTCTGAGGGCTTCGAGGGCTTCTGACGCTTGAGGAATGTGTAGAATTCCCCAAGGCTCCAAAGACTCTGCTTTGGGAGGCAGCAGGGTGGAGCCCCTAGCCCCCAGGGATGCTGGCTTCACCTGACATGTGGGAGAAGAAGGAACGACCCCCTGGGTTTGGTACAGGCCCCAGGGGTGGGGGAAGACCACGGGCTGGGACCCGAGTGCAGAAAATAGGTCCTTACAACTGTGGCCTTGAATCCCCTGTCAGCACCCCTATGTCCCGCCAGGTCAGATGGAAGGGGAGGGGAGGGGAGTCTTGCCTGGCTATGCCAGGAGGTGAGGACTGAGCTAGGGCAGGCAGGGTGGTTGGCAGCCCCACCTGGCTGGGAAGCCAGCGGGTGCCCCGCCAGGGTCAACCTGCAGCCTCGGGTCCAGCGCCTCCCGTTCTCATGGGCTGTGGTCCCTTCTTCACTCATGATGTCCTCCTCATTAGCCCCTGGGGTGGAGGCATGTGGCAGATCCCTCCCACCTGGGCTTCCGGGGGTTACGGGCCGGGGGCTCTGGGCCGAGCAGCTGGCAGGGAAGCCCATTGCCTCTTCCTGGAGCCCCAGCCCCTCCGGTACCCAGAGGTCTGGCCCATGAAGCGGGTTTTAGGTGTGACCCTTGGCGTGTCTGGAGCTGTTGCAGCCGCAGTGACTCACTGGGGAAGGAGGAGGGTGGGGCCGAGATGTGGGCGAGGGTGAGCTCTGGCTCTCTGCCCCCCTTGCCCGCTGCTGGCTCAGCACCAGGATGTGAGGCTGAAAAAAGGGGCCCTGCTCAAGGAGGAAGAGAGGACGCCAGCGCATTCGGTGGCTTCGGGGAGCTGCAGAGCCCTTGGGTGGAAGCCTTTCCCTTTCCCTCCTGGTCTGGCTCCCCTCTTGTCTGCGGGGCTGGCTACTCAGTGCTGGAGGCTGAGGGAGGGCGCCACTGAAGTCCCAGCTTTTGCTGTTTCTCTGTGGGAAGGGTCAGCCCGACTTCCAGTAGGAAGGGAGGAGGTGATTGCCCCAGCTGACACCTGTGCCAGCAGGCTTCCTGCTGGCCTTCTGGCTGGCACCTGCGCTGACATAAATACCACGAAAGCGAGTGCAGGTGGTTGGGGAACAGGGTGTCTGTGACTGTCTTCATCGGTATTATGATCTGCCTGACGTTGGAAGCCCTATGTGCTCATGAATTTCCGTAAATCTTATCCTCAAAGGCAAACTCAGTACCTTCAAGATCCCATTTAGATTTCATCCCTCCTCCAGAAGGCTCCCAAACCTTCTGGAACATTCTGAGGCCAGATTAGTCACACCCTGAGCACCTTGCTCATTATTTATATCTGGGATAGGAACTAAATCTTTTTTTTTTTTTTTGGCTGTGCCATGTGGCATGTGGGTTAGTTCCTTGACCGGGGCTGGAACTTGGCCCCTTGCATTGGGAGCTCGGAGTCTTAACCACTGGGCCCTCAGGGAAGTTCCAGCAACTAGGTCTTTTGACTCTCCATGTGTGGCCCGTGGAGCGCGTTTGGAGGATACACCGGTGACGTTAGGTAAGAGCCTAGCGGAGTGTGTAATTCAGAGCTAGGCTGAGAGCTTCCATCCCTTTCTGGTTTTTTCTGCAGCGCCCTGTACAATGATGCAGAGGCAATCGGTATGCATGTATTAATTGACTGGTTGGCTGATGATTTCTGGATGTCAGCGGATTTTGGCTCTGGGAGAAGCTCTCCACGACTTAGAGCACCCCTCACGGTTTCACAGATGTGTTCCTGGGTGGCTGCCGCCCCCATTTTGTGTGGGTGGCTGGAGGCTGGAGGCCCGCCTGGTGTCTCCCCGGGTGCCCCCGCAGCCAACAGCTGTAGCTGGAGGGTGTCTTTGCTTCTCACCTATGGGCACTGACTAACCACATGCCTGAGATGGCATGACTGGACCACAGCATCTCGGGCTTGCGCCAGTGCTGAGGGGCCTGGGGCTTCCATTGCTCAGCCTCTGCCTGTAGCAGGGCCCCTGGAGCTCCAGCTGTTGAATGTCCCCCTGGACCCAAGGCCGGGGTTAGACAGGGTGACCCAGCGTCGCTCACCTTGGGCCACCACCAGCCCGGCTTGCAGGTTGCCCGTGACCCCCAGGGCTGGAGGCTCTGAGGAAGGGGGTCACACACCTGTTAGAGCTGCATGCCTGATGTGGTGTGTCGAGGGAAGAGTTAACAGGCTCAGAGCCCAAGCATGTTGCTCTCTTATGGTGGACCCCAGCCGGCTGGGCTCTCTGAATCTCAGTTTCTCCATCTGCGCTGTGGGGCAGTAACATCTCCTCCTGAACATGTTCCAAGGGACCCAGTGAGGATGTGGATGTTGGGAGGTGCCCATGGGCCAGAGCTTTCCACTCATGTTCTTTCTCCTTCTTCCTCCTCCTTCAGTCCTCATGGGGATCCTTTATCGTTTCCATTTGCACAGATGAGGAAATGGAGGTTCAGAGAAGTTAAGTGACTTGGCTTGGGTCACATAGCAGGCAAGATGCCAAGTCAGGATTGGAATCTGAGTCTGACCCCTTCCAAAGCCCCTTCCCGTGATCCCAGCCTTGGAGAGTCACATGTGAATGGAGTTGATGACAGTAGCGGGGTTGGGGTTTTGGTTTGGCCCCGGCAGACAGGACATTCAGCCATCTCTCTTGCGTAGCAGCCGGGGCGGGGCTGTGAGCGAGCCAGCTGTTGAGTGAGAACCTGATCATGACCTTTCCCCTAGACGGTGTGACCGAGATTCCCAAGAGAGAGATATTCTGAGGAGAGAAGAGGAAGGAGGGGCGGGCTCCTGGCAAGGCATCCGCTCCTGACCCAAGTCCTGCGAAGGTCAGTAGGAGGGAGGGGGAGGTGACCGGGTGGGGAATGGGGAGGGTAGAGACCTGGATGGACTGGAGCATGGAGCATGGGGCGGGGAGGGGCGTGGAACGGGATGAGGGGCCGTTTACTTCTGGTGTGGTTGCAACCACTGACCCATTTCCGATTTCTCCCTTGTGCCTTGGGAGCTCGCCCACAGCAGAAGCCGGCACCTTGGAGACAGTGCCCCGCTCCCGGGGGGTATCCCTGGCTTCCTCATCCCCCCGTGACCTCACGCCCCCACTGCCCTGAGCTCCATTTCGTTACCCCATCCAGATGGAGAAGGAGGAGGAGACGACTCGGGAGCTGCTGCTGCCCAACTGGCAGGGCAGCGGCTCCCACGGGCTGACCATCACCCAGAGGGATGATGGCGTCTTTGTGCAGGAGGTGATGCAGAACTCCCCTGCGGCCCGCACTGGGGTGGTCAAGGAGGGTGAGTCTTCTCGGGGTGCGGGCTGGTGCTGGGGTAGCGGGGAGGCTGGTGGAGGGGAGGGTGGGGCGAGGGCAGCACAAGCAGGCGCCTGGCTGTGGAGTGCCTGGTCTCAAGTGACATCAGGATGGTCGGTACCCAAGCCCTGCCGTCCCCTGCCCACTCTTTGTCGCTTGTTCATTCACAGTCCTCGTGGGAGGCGGTCCCGTGGGTTGGAGATGTTGTGGGTCCTCTGTTCTGACTCCACCACCCAGGAGTTTGGCCACTTTGGGCCAATTAGTTGTCCTCCCTGCCTCAGTTTCCTCATCTCTACCCTGGGTGTTAACCATACCTGTGAATCAGTCCAAGGGCCCAATGCAAAGTGCTGGGTTGTGGGTTGTTTCCCCGAGACTCTGGGTGGTCTTACCCACATCTTGCTCTTTCCTGCTCAGGGGACCAGATTGTGGGTGCCACGATCTACTTTGACAACCTGCAGTCGGGTGAGGTGACCCAACTGCTGAACACCATGGGCCACCACACCGTGGGCCTGAAGCTGCATCGCAAGGGGGACCGGTCCCCTGAGCCTGGCCAGACCTGGACCCATGAGGTCTTCAGTTCCCACAGCTCCGAAGTGGTTCTGGTGAGTTCCTGGCTGGCCGGCTGCTCCCTGAGCTCCTCTGGCCACTCGGCTCCCTTTCCTGGGCCTCGCTTGTCCTTCCTTGCTTTTCTCGCCCACTCTCACCCTCTGCTCTCTGTTGAGCCAGCCTGTTTCTCCTGTTCATGTGTGGCTGCTACTGCTGCTAAAAAAAATCTCCCGTTGGTCTCCTCAGAGGCCCCTGTGTGTGGGGACCCACTGATGAGTCTGGTCCGAGGTGCTGGGAGGCAGGTCGGCTGCTATGTGGGGATCTTTGAAAATTATTTTCTCGGTGCCCAGCTCTGCCTCCCAGACATTATTTTTCTGCTTCCAGAGCCCTGGACTCGTCTGTGAGTCAGAGGCTGGGCAGTGAAGTGCCTGAGAGACGTTTCTCTGCTCCTTCCGATGGCTTGTTTATTTAACAAATAATGAGTCCCTCAAAGTGGAAGTGTTAAGCCCAGCACAACCGGGCTCCACCGATGCTGTCCGAAGGGCCCCTGAGAGGACTCCCCTCCGGATTAAACCAACAAGGCCAGGCAGTTGAGAGCTGAGAACTGAAGTAAGTCAGCACAGGGCTAGTTGCCGGGAGGCGTCTGAGAAACTTGACGGGCTGACTGGAATCTAGAATCGGTTGTGAATCCTTCTCCCAGGTCCCAGTGTCCCGGAGTCTACTGTCCCCAGTCTTCCCCATGGCTTTTGCTTGCCAGAGTTTCCCCAAATAATTTGTTTTCTTCCTGTGATGTGGCTGTCAGCCCCTCTCTTTAGCCCCTCATGCTGGGTCCCAGAAGGCTCCATGCGCCTCCCTAACGGTCCCGGCTTCCCTGGGGAGCAGGAGACCGTGCTGTCGGCTGGGCTGTGGCCGGGCGTCTGTCACTCGCACAGACTCTGCTGCAACCTGTACGGGGCGTGTGTTTCTGCAGAGCGGGGATGACGAGGAGTACCAGCGCATCTACGCCACAAAGATCAAGCCTCGGCTGAAGTCAGAGGCCGGAGTGGAAGGGGACGCTGGGGAGACCCAGAGCCGTACCATCACGGTGACCAGGAGGGTCACGGCCTACACTGTGGATGTGACAAGCCGCGAAGGCGCCAAGGACATTGACATCAGCAGCCCAGAGTTCAAGATCAAGATCCCCCGGCACGAATTGGCCGAAATCTCCACTGTGGATGTGGAGACCCAGCCCGGGAAGACAGTGATCAGACTGCCCTCGGGCTCAGGGGCTGGGTCTCCCACCACAGGCTCCACCGTGGACATCCGAGCAGGGTCCATTTCCACTGCAGGCCCAGAGTTGCCAGGGGCTGGCCACTCGAAGGTCCAGGTCACCGTGCCTGGGGTAAAGGTGGGAAGCCCGGGGGTCAGTGTCAATGCAAAGGGCTTGGACTTGGGTAGCAAAGGAGGGATCCAGGTCTCAGGGGTGGATGTTTCATCCTCTCTTGGGGGCGGGCCAGTAGAGGGGCAGGGCCCATCTCTTGACGGGAAAATTAAATTTCCCACCATGAAGATGCCAAAATTTGGTGTCCCAATAGGGCCTGAGGGCCAGGCCCCCGAGGCAGGGTTGAGTGTTTCCCCCCCTGAACTCTCTGTGGGGCACAAAGGTGGCAAGCCAGGTTTGACTATTGGTGGAAGCATCCAGACCCCTCAGCTCGAAGTTAGTGCTCCCTCTGCCAATATTGAGGGGCTTGAGGGGAAGTTGAAGGGCCCCCAGATCACTGGACCATCCCTTGAGGGTGGCCTAGGCCTGAAAGGTGCCAAGCCACAGGGGAGTTTGGGAGTGGACATCTCTGTGCCCCAAATTGAGGGCAGCGTTTCTGGCTCCAGGGTAGAAGTTCAAGCTCCTAACATTGACATTCATGGGCCTGGGGGCAAAGTGAATGTGCCCAAGGTGAAGGCCCCCCAGTTCTCTGTATCAGGTTCTAAGGGAGACAGGCCTGGCATTGATGTGACACTACCCACAGGTGAAGTGACGCTTCCTGGGGTCTCTGGGAATGTCGACCTGCCTGAGGTTGCTTCTGGGGGTCTGGAAGGGAAGTTGAAGGGTCCTAAAATCAAGGCTCCTGAAATGATTATTCAGAAACCTAAAATCTCCATGCAGGATGTGGATCTGAGCCTTGGGTCCTCGAAACTGAAAGGAGACATTAAAGTTTCTGCTCCTGGGGTGCAAGGTGATGTTAAAGGCCCTCAAGTGGCAGTTAAAGGTGCCAAAGTAGACATAGAGACACCCAGCCTAGAGGGAACCATTACTGGCCCCAAACTTAGTGGTCCTTCTGGGGAAGCAGGAACCTGCAGGATCTCTATGGCAGACGTTGACTTGAATGTGGCTGCACCAAAAGTGAAAGGGGGTGTTGATGTTACGCTTCCAAAAGTAGAGGGGAAAGTCAGTGTCCCTGAAGTTGATGTCAAAGGCCCCAAAGTGGATGTGAGTGCCCCAGATGTGGAAGTTCATGGTCCGGACTGGAATCTGAAAATGCCCAAGATGAAAATGCCCAAGTTCAGCACTCCAGGAGTCAAAGGGGAAGGGCCAGATGTAGATGTGAGTCTCCCCAAAGGTGATGTCAGTATTTCAGGGCCCAAGGTCCATGTGGATGCCCCAAATGTCAATATCGGGGGCCTGGCAGGCAACCTTAAAGGCCCTGATGTTCAGCTGCCTGAAGTGAGTGTCAAGACACCAAAGCTGTCCATGCCTGATGTGGATTTGCATGTGAAAGGCCCCAAAGTAAAAGGAGAGTATGATGTAACAGCGCCAAAACTTGAAGGAGAGCTGAAAGGCCCCAAAGTGGACATCGATGTCCCAGATGTGGATATCCAGGGCCCAGACTGGCACCTGAAGATGCCCAAGATGAAAATGCCCAAGTTCACTGTTCCAGGGTTCAAAGCAGAGGGCCCTGAAGTCAATGTAAACCTGCCTAAGCCTGATGTGGACATTTCTGGGCCCAAGGTAGATGTTAGTGCTCCAGATGTGAGTATTGAGGGACCAGAGGGGAAATTGAAAGGACCCAAGTTTAAGATGCCTGAGATGAATATCAAAGCACCAAAGATTTCCATACCAGATGTGGACTTACACTTGAAAGGCCCTAGTGTAAAAGGAGAATATGATGTCACAGTGCCAAAGGTTGAAGGTGAGATTAAAGTTCCTGATGTTGAACTTAAGAGTGCCAAAGTGGACATTGATGCTCCAGATGTGGATGTTCATGGCCCAGACTGGCACCTGAAGATGCCCAAGATGAAAATGCCCAAGTTCAGTATGCCTGGCTTCAAAGGAGAGGGCCCGGAAGTGGATGTGAACCTGCCCAAGACTGACATTGACATTGCTGGACCCAAGGTGGATGTTGAAGGTCCAGATGTGAATATTGAAGGACCTGAAGGAAAGCTAAAGGGTCCCAAGTTTAAGATGCCAGAGATGAACATCAAGGCCCCCAAGATCTCCATGCCTGATGTAGATTTGCACATGAAAGGTCCCAAGGTGAAGGGAGAATATGATGTTACAGTGCCAAAGCTGGAAGGGGACCTGAAGGGGCCCAAAGTAGACCTCAGTGCACCAGATGTTGAAGTTCACGGTCCCGACTGGAACCTGAAGATGCCAAAGATGAAGATGCCCAAATTCACCATGCCCAGCCTTAAAGGAGAGGGCCCAGAATTGGATGTGAATCTGCCCAAGGCGGATCTCGACATTTCTGCACCAAAGGTAGATATTAGTGCTCCAGATCTGAGCCTTGAAGGGCCAGAAGGAAAGTTGAAAGGCCCCAAGTTTAAGATGCCTGAGATGCACTTCAGAGCTCCTAAGATGACCCTTCCAGATGTTGACATGGATCTTAAAGGACCCAAAATGAAAGGCAGTCTTGATGTGTCTGCACCAAAAATAGAAGGTGAGATGAAAGCTCCAGAGGTGGACATCAAAGGCCCCAAATTAGATGTTAAAGCACCAGATGTGGAAGTTCAGGGTGCGGACTGGAGTCTGAAGATGCCCAAGATGAAAATGCCTAAATTCAGCATGCCCAGCTTCAAAGGCCAGGGCCCAGATGTGGACGTGAACCTGCCTAAGGCTGACATTGATGTCTCTGGGCCAAAGGTGGACATTGCAGCCCCAGATGTGAGCCTTGAGGGGCCTGAAGGAGAACTCAAGGGTCCTAAGTTTAAGATGCCTGAGATGCACATCAAGGCCCCCAAGATCTCGATGCCTGATGTGGACTTAAACTTGAAAGACCCCAAAGTCAAAGGGGATGTGGATGTGTCTGTGCCCAAGATAGAAGGTGAAATGAAAGTGCCAGATGTGGACATCAAAGGCCCCAAAGTGGATGTTGCTGTCCCAGATGTGGACGTTCAAGGCCCAGACTGGCACCTGAAAATGCCCAAGATGAAAATGCCCAAGTTCAGCATGCCTGGCTTCAAAGGAGAGGGCCCTGAGGTGGATGTGAATCTGCCTAAAGCTGATATTGACATTTCAGGACCCAAGGTGGACATTGAAGCCCCAGATGTGAGTCTTGAGGGGCCAGAAGGAAAGATCAAGGGTCCTAAGTTCAAGATGCCCGAGATGCACTTCAAGGCCCCCAAGATCTCTATGCCTGATGTGGACTTAAATTTGAAAGGCCCTAAAGTCAAAGGGGATGTGGATGTGTCTGTGCCCAAGATAGAAGGTGAAATGAAAGTGCCAGATGTGGACATCAAAGGCCCCAAAGTGGACGTTGCTGTCCCAGATGTGGACGTTCAAGGCCCTGACTGGCACCTGAAGATGCCCAAGATGAAAATGCCCAAGTTCAGCATGCCTGGCTTCAAAGGAGAGAGCCCTGATGTGGATGTGAATCTGCCTAAAGCTGATATTGACATTTCAGGACCCAAGGTGGACATTGAAGCCCCAGATGTGAGTCTTGAGGGGCCAGAAGGAAAGCTCAAGGGTCCTAAGTTCAAGATGCCCGAGATGCACTTCAAGGCCCCCAAGATCTCTATGCCTGATGTGGACTTAAATTTGAAAGGCCCCAAAGTCAAAGGGGATGTGGATGTGTCTGTGCCCAAGATAGAAGGTGAAATGAAAGTGCCAGATGTGGACATCAAAGGCCCCAGAGTGGATGTTGATGTCCCTGATGTGGACGTTCAAGGCCCTGACTGGCACCTGAAGATGCCTAAGATGAAAATGCCTAAATTTAGTGTGCCTGGCTTCAAAGGAGAAGGCCCTGAGGTGGATGTGAACTTGCCCAAGGCTGACATTGACATCTCTGGACCCAAGGTGGACATTGAAGCCCCAGATGTGAGTCTTGAGGGGCCAGAAGGAAAGCTCAAGGGTCCTAAGTTTAAGATGCCTGAGATGCACTTCAAAACTCCAAAGATCTCCATGCCTGACATTGATTTAAACCTCAAGGGCCCCAAGGTGAAAGGGGATGTGGATGTTTCTCTGCCCAAAGTTGAAGGGGATCTGAAAGGGCCAGATGTGGACATCAAAGGCCCCAAAGTGGATGTTGATGTCCCAGATGTGGATGTTCAAGGCCCTGACTGGCACCTGAAGATGCCCAAGATAAAAATGCCCAAGTTTAGCATGCCTGGCTTCAAAGGAGAGGGCCCAGAAGTGGATGTGAATCTGCCAAAGGGTGACATAGATATCTCAGGACCGAAGGTGGATGTTGAAGTTCCAGATGTGAACATTGAAGGTCCCAATGCAAAAGTAAAAGGTCCTAAATTTAAATTGCCAGAAATGAATATAAAGCCTCAGAAGATATCCATGCCAGATGTTAGTTTGCATTTGAAAGGCCCTAAAGTGAAAGGAGATTATGATGTTACAGTTCCAAAAGTAGAAGGAGAGATTAAAGCCCCTGATGTTGACATCAAAGGTCCAAAAGTGGACATTAATGCACCAGATGCAGGAGTTCATGGTCCAGACTGGCACCTGAAGATGCCCAAGGTGAAAATGCCCAAGTTCAGCATGCCTGGCTTCAAAGGAGAGGGCCCAGAAGTGGATGTGAACTTGCCCAAGGCTGACATTGACATCTCAGGACCCAAGGTGGACATTGATGCCCCAGATGTAAATATTGAAGGTCCAGAGGGGAAACTAAAGGGTCCCAAATTCAAGATGCCAAGCATGCACATACAGACGCACAAAATCTCTATGCCTGATGTTGGACTTAATCTGAAATCCCCTAAACTTAAGTCTGATGTAGATGTTTCTCTTCCTAAAGTGGAAGGAGACTTGAAAGGTCCTGGAATTGATGTGAAAGCCCCGAAAATGGACGTGGATGTTGGTGACATAGATATTGAATGTCCAGAAGGAAAGCTTAAGGGGCCCAAGTTTAAGATGCCCGAGATGCACTTCAAGGCTCCAAAGATCTCCATGCCTGATGTGGACTTAAACTTGAAAGGCCCCAAAGTCAAAGGGGATGTGGATGTGTCTGTGCCCAAGATAGAAGGTGAAATGAAAGTGCCAGATGTGGACATCAAAGGCCCCAAAGTGGACATTGATGTCCCAGATGTGGATGTCCAAGGCCCTGACTGGCACCTGAAGATGCCCAAGGTGAAAATGCCCAAGTTCAGCATGCCTGGCTTCAAAGGAGAGGGCCCTGAGGTGGATGTGAACCTGCCTAAAGCTGATATTGACATCTCTGGACCCAAGGTGGACATTGAAGCCCCAGATGTGAGTCTCGAGGGGCCAGAAGGAAAATTGAAAGGCTCTAAATTTAAGATGCCTAAGTTGAATATCAAAGCTCCCAAGATCTCCATGCCAGATGTGGACTTAAACTTGAAGGGACCCAAACTGAAAGGAGAGATGGATGTTTCTGTGCCAGAACTAGAAGGTGATCTCAAAGGTCCACAAGTTGACATCAAAGGTCCCAGTGTGGATGTGGAAGTGCCTGATGTTGATCTGGAGTGTCCTGAAGCAAAGTTGAAAGGCCCTAAGTTTAAGATGCCTGAGATGCACTTCAAGACCCCCAAGATCTCCATGCCTGATGTGGACTTACACTTGAAAGGCCCCAAAGTCAAAGGGGATGTGGATGTATCTGTGCCAAAATTGGAGGGAGATTTGAAAGGCCCCAGTGTGGATGTGGAGGTGCCTGATGTTGATCTGGAGTGTCCTGATGCAAAATTGAAAGGCCCTAAGTTTAAAATGCCTGAGATGCATTTCAAAGCCCCCAAGATCTCCATGCCTGATGTGGACTTAAACTTGAAAGGCCCCAAAGTCAAAGGGGATGTGGATGTGTCTGTGCCCAAGATAGAAGGTGAAATGAAAGTGCCAGATGTAGACATCAAAGGCCCCAAAGTGGACATCGATGTTCCAGACGTGGATGTCCAGGGCCCAGACTGGCACCTGAAGATGCCCAAGATGAAAATGCCTAAATTCAGCATGCCAGGCTTCAAAGGCCAGGGCCCAGATTTGGACGTGAACCTGCCCAAGGCTGACATTGATGTCTCTGGACCAAAGGTGGACATTGAAGCCCCAGATGTGAGTCTTGAGGGGCCAGAAGGAAAGCTCAAGGGTCCTAAGTTCAAGATGCCCGAGATGCACTTCAAAGCCCCCAAGATCTCAATGCCTGATGTGGACTTAAACTTGAAAGGCTCCAAAGTTAAAGGGGATATGGATGTGTCTGTGCCCAAATTAGAAGGTGAAATGAAAGTGCCAGATGTGGACATCAAAGGCCCCAAAGTGGACGTTGATGTCCCAGATGTGGACGTCCAAGGCCCAGACTGGCACCTGAAGATGCCCAAGATGAAAATGCCCAAGTTCAGCATGCCTGGCTTCAAAGGAGAGGGCCCTGAGGTGGATGTGAATCTGCCTAAAGCCGATATTGACATTTCAGGACCCAAGGTGGACATTGAAGCCCCAGATGTGAGTCTTGAGGGGCCAGAAGGAAAGCTCAAGGGTCCTAAGTTCAAGATGCCTGAGATGCACTTCAAAGCCCCCAAGATCTCAATGCCTGATGTGGACTTAAACTTGAAAGGCCCCAAAGTCAAAGGGGATGTGGATGTGTCTGTGCCCAAGATAGAAGGTGAAATGAAAGTGCCAGATCTGGACATCAAAGGCCCCAAAGTAGACGTTGATGTCCCAAATGTGGACGTTCAAGGCCCTGACTGGCACCTGAAGATGCCAAAGATGAAAATGCCCAAGTTCAGCATGCCAGGCTTCAAAGGCCAGGGCCCAGATGTGGACGTGAACCTGCCTAAGGCTGACATCGATGTCTCTGGACCCCAGGTGGACATTGAAGCCCCAGATGTGAGTCTTGAGGGGCCAGAAGGAAAGCTCAAGGGTCCTAAGTTCAAGATGCCTGAGATGCACTTCAAGGCCCCCAAGATCTCTATGCCTGATGTGGACTTAAATTTGAAAGGCTCTAAAGTCAAAGGGGATGTGGATGTGTCTGTCCCCAAGATAGAGGGTGAAATGAAAGTGCCAGATGTGGATATCAAAGGCCCCAAAGTGGACGTTGATGTCCCAGATGTGGATGTTCAAGGCCCTGACTGGCACCTGAAGATGCCCAAGATGAAAATGCCCAAGTTCAGCATGCCTGGCTTCAAAGGAGAGGGCCCTGAGGTGGATGTGAAATTGGCCAAGGCTGACATTGACATCTCTGGACCCAAGATGGACATTGAAGGCCCAGATGTTAACCTTGAAGGACCAGAAGGAAAGTTGAAAGGTCCTAAGTTCAAGATGCCAGAGATGAACATCAAAGCCCCGAAGATCTCCATGCCTGACTTTGATTTACACCTGAAAGGCCCTAAGGTGAAAGGAGATGTGGATGTTTCTCTGCCTAAGGTGGAAGGTGACCTAAAGGCCCCTGAAGTTGACATCAAAGGCCCCAAAGTGGACATCGATGTCCCAGATGTGGACGTTCAAGGCCCTGACTGGCACCTGAAGATGCCTAAGATGAAAATGCCTAAGTTCAGCATGCCTGGCTTCAAAGGAGAGGGCCCAGAAGTGGATGTGAACCTTCCTAAAGCTGACATTGATATCTCAAAACCCAAGGTGGATATTGAAGGCCCTGATGTGAGCCTTGAAGGTCCTGAAGGGAAGCTCAAGGGTCCTAAGTTCAAGATGCCAGAGATGAACATCAAAGCCCCCAAGATCTCCATGCCTGACTTTGATTTACACCTGAAAGGCCCCAAGGTGAAAGGAGATGTGGATGTTTCTCTGCCTAAAGTAGAAGGTGACCTAAAGGCTCCTGATGTGGACATCAAAGGCCCCAAGGTGGACATTGATGTCCCTGATGTGGACGTTCACGGCCCTGACTGGCACCTGAAGATGCCCAAGATGAAAATGCCCAAGTTCAGCATGCCTGGCTTCAAAGGAGAGGGCCCAGAAGTGGATGTGAACTTGCCCAAGGCCGACATTGATGTCTCGGGACCCAAAGTGGACATTGAAGGCCCTGATGTTCATCTTGAAGGACCAGAAGGAAAGTGGAAAAGCCCAAAGTTTAAAATGCCTGAAATGCATTTTAAAACTCCAAAGATATCCATGCCAGATATTGATCTTAATCTGACCGGTCCAAAGATAAAAGGAGATGTGGATGCCACATGCCCCAAGGTAGAAGGAGATTTTAAAGGACCTGAAATTGACCTGAAAGGCCCTAAAGTAGACATTGATGTCCCTGATGTGGATGTTCAAGGCCCTGACTGGCACCTGAAGATGCCTAAGATGAAACTGCCCAAGTTCAGCATGCCTGGCTTCAAAGGAGAGGGCCCAGAAGTGGATGTGAACCTGCCCAAGGCTGACATTGATGTGTCAGCACCCAAGGTGGACATTGAAGGCCCTGATGTTAACCTTGAAGGACCAGAAGGAAAGTTGAAAGGTCCTAAGTTCAAGATGCCAGAGATGAACATCTCAGCCCCCAAGATCTCTATGCCTGACTTTGATTTACACCTGAAAGGTCCCAAGGTGAAAGGAGATGTGGATGTTTCTCTGCCTAAGGTGGAAGGTGACTTAAAGGCCCCTGAAGTTGACATCAAAGGCCCCAAAGTGGATGTTGATGTCCCAGATGTGGATGTTCATGGCCCAGACTGGCACCTGAAGATGCCCAAGATGAAAATGCCCAAGTTCAGTATGCCTGGCTTCAAAGGAGAGGGTCCAGAAGTGGATGTGAACCTGCCTAAAGCTGACATTGATATCTCAGGACCCAAGGTGGACATTGAAGGCCCAGATGTGAGTCTTGAAGGTCCTGAAGGGAAGCTCAAGGGTCCTAAGTTCAAGATGCCAGAGATGAACATCAAAGCCCCCAAGATCTCCATGCCTGACATTGATCTTAACCTGAAGGGCCCCAAAGTGAAGGGAGATGTGGATGTGTCTTTACCAAAAGTGGAAGGTGAGATTAAAGTTCCTGAAGTGGATATTAAAGGCCCCAAAGTGGACATTGATGTCCCAGATGTGGATGTTCATGGCCCTGACTGGCACCTGAAGATGCCCAAGATAAAAATGCCCAAGATGAGCATGCCTGGCTTTAAAGGAGAGGGCCCAGAAGTGGATGTGAACCTGCCCAAGGCTGATATAGATGTCTCCGGGCCCAAGGTGGACATTGATGTTCCAGATGTGAACATTGAAGGTCCAGATGCGAAACTGAAGGGTCCCAAGTTCAAGATGCCAGAAATGAATATCAAAGCTCCTAAGATCTCCATGCCAGATCTGGACCTTAATCTTAAAGGCCCTAAAGTGAAAGGAGAGGTGGATGTTGCACTTCCAAATGTAGAAGGTGATTTGAAAGGGCCTTCTCTTGACATCAAAGGGCCGAAGATAGATGTAGATGCACCTGATATTGACATTCATGGCCCAGAAGGCAAATTAAAAGGTCCAAAGCTGAAGATGCCTGACATGCATGTAAACATGCCCAAGATCTCCATGCCAGAAATTGACCTGAATTTGAAGGGCTCAAAACTTAAGGGAGATGTTGATGTTTCTGGGCCCAAATTGGAAGGTGACATTAAAACTCCCAAGTTGGATGTAAAGGGCCCAGAAGTGGACATTTCAGGTCCTAAGCTCAATATTGAAGGCAAGTCAAAGAAGTCACGTTTTAAGCTTCCCAAATTTAATTTTTCGGGCTCCAAAGTTCAGACACCTGAGGTAGATGTCAAGGTAAAAAAGCCAGATCTTGATGTAACAGGTCCAAAAGTTGACATTAATGCTCCTGATGTTGAGGTCCAAGGAAAAGTGAAAGGACCCAAGTTCAAAATGCCTTTCCTAAGTATTTCATCTCCTAAAGTGTCTATGCCTGATGTGGAGTTAAATCTGAAAGGTCCTAAAGTCAAAGGAGACTTAGATGTTGCAGGTCCTAATTTAGAAGGTGATCTTAAAGGACCCAAAGTGGATATTAAGGCACCAGAAATTCACCTGGATGCACCTGATGTGGATGTTCATGGTCCAGACTGGAATTTGAAAATGCCCAAGATGAAAATGCCCAAGTTCAGTGTGCCTGGGTTAAAAGCAGAAGGACCAGATATGGCTGTGGATCTGCCAAAAGGAGATATCAACATAGAGGGTCCCAAAATGGACATTGAGGGCCCAGAAGTAAATGTGGAAGGTCTAGATGGAGGCTTAAAAGGACCCAAATTCAAGATGCCTGACATAAATATCAAAGGTCCCAAGATCTCCATGCCCGACGTTGATTTAAATTTGAAGGGCCCCACGGTGAAAGGTGATGTGGATGTTTCTCTGCCCAAAGTTGAAGGTGACCTCAAGGGCCCTGAAGTTGACATCAAAGGCCCGAAAGTGGACATTGATGTCCCAGATGTGGACGTTCATGGCCCAGACTGGCACCTGAAGATGCCCAAGGTGAAAATGCCCAAGTTCAGCATGCCTGGCTTCAAAGGAGAGGGCCCAGAAATGGATGTGAATCTGCCCAAGGCTGACATTGATGTCTCCGGACCCAAGGTGGACATTGATGTTCCAGATGTGAATATTGAAGGTCCAAATGCAAAACTGAAGGGTCCCAAATTCAAGATGCCAGAGATGAACATCAAAGCTCCCAAGATCTCCATGCCTGACATTGACTTTAATCTGAAGGGCCCCAAACTGAAGGGTGATGTGGATGTATCTTTGCCAAAAGTAGAAGGTGACCTCAAGGGTCCTGAGGTGGACATCAAGGGCCCAAAAGTAGATATTGAAACTCCTGATATTAACATTGAAGGTTCAGAGGGGAAATTGAAGGGACCCAAATTCAAGATGCCAGAGATGCACCTAAAGGCTCCCAAGATCTCCATGCCTGATATTGACTTAAACCTGAAAGGACCCAAAGTAAAGGGGGATCTGGATATTTCTCTGCCTAAGGTGGAAGGTGACCTCAAGGGCCCTGAAGTTGACATCAAAGGCCCGAAAGTGGACATTGATGCTCCAGATGTGGACGTTCAAGGCCCAGACTGGCACCTGAAGATGCCCAAGATAAAAATGCCCAAGATCAGCATGCCTGGCTTCAAAGGAGAGGGCCCAGAAGTGGATGTGAACCTGCCCAAGGCTGACATTGATGTGTCAGCACCCAAAGTGGACATTGAAGGCCCTGATGTTAACCTTGAAGGACCAGATGGAAAGTTAAAAGGTCCTAGGTTCAAGATGCCAGAGATGAACATCAAAGCCCCCAAGATCTCTATGCCTGACTTCGATTTACACCTGAAAGGCCCTAAGGTGAAAGGAGATGTGGATGTTTCCCTGCCTAAGGTGGAAGGTGACCTAAAGGCCCCTGAAGTTGACATCAAAGGCCCCAAAGTGGACATCGATGTCCCAGATGTGGATGTTCAAGGCCCAGACTGGCACCTGAAGATGCCCAAGATAAAAATGCCCAAGATTAGCATGCCTGGCTTCAAAGGAGAGGGCCCGGAAATGGATGTGAACCTGCCTAAAGCTGACATTGACATATCAGGTCCCAAGGTGGACATAGACACTCCCGACATCGACATTCATGGTCCAGAAGGAAAACTGAAGGGTCCCAAGTTTAAAATGCCTGACCTGCACCTCAAGGCACCCAAGATCTCCATGCCTGAAGTTGACCTGAATCTGAAGGGCCCCAAGGTAAAGGGTGACATGGACGTTTCTCTGCCCAAAGTTGAAGGTGACCTCAAGGGCCCTGAAGTTGACATCAAAGGCCCGAAAGTGGACATTGATGTCCCAGATGTGGACGTTCATGGCCCAGACTGGCACCTGAAGATGCCCAAGGTGAAAATGCCCAAGTTCAGCATGCCTGGCTTCAAAGGAGAGGGCCCAGAAGTGGATGTGAACCTGCCCAAGGCTGACATAGATGTCTCCGGACCCAAGGTGGACATTGATGTTCCAGATGTGAATATTGAAGGTCCAGATGCAAAACTGAAGGGTCCCAAATTCAAGATGCCAGAGATGAACATCAAAGCTCCCAAGATCTCCATGCCTGACATTGACTTAAATCTGAAAGGACCCAAAGTAAAGGGAGATGTGGACATTTCTCTGCCTAAGGTGGAAGGTGACCTCAAGGGCCCTGAAGTTGACATCAAGGGCCCCAAAGTGGACATTGATGTTCCAGATGTGGATGTTCATGGCCCAGACTGGCACCTAAAGATGCCCAAGGTGAAAATGCCCAAGTTCAGCATGCCTGGCTTCAAAGGAGAGGGCCCAGAAGTGGATGTGAACCTGCCCAAAGCTGACATAGATGTCTCAGGACCCAGGGTAGACATTGATGTTCCAGATGTGAACATTGAAGGTCCAGATGCAAAACTGAAGGGTCCCAAATTCAAAATGCCAGAGATGAACATCAAAGCTCCCAAGATCTCCATGCCTGACCTTGACTTCAACCTTAAGGGCCCCAAAATGAAGGGTGATGTTGATATCTCTCTGCCCAAAGTTGAGGGTGATCTCAAGGCCCCTGATGTGGACATCAAAGGCCCCAAACTGGATATTGACTCTCCTGATATTAGTATTGAAGGCCCAGAAGGAAAACTGAAGGGGCCTAAATTTAAGATGCCAGAGATGAACATTAAAGCCCCAAAGATCTCCATGCCTGACTTTGACCTAAATCTGAAAGGGCCAAAGGTAAAGGGTGATGTGGACCTTTCACTACCTAAGGTAGAAGGTGATCTGAAAGGGCCAGAGGTGGACATTGAAGGCCCTGAAGGGAAGCTCAAAGGACCCAAATTTAAGATGCCTGATGTCCACTTCAAAACCCCACAAATCTCCATGAGTGACATTGATTTGAACTTGAAAGGGCCTAAGATAAAAGGAGATTTGGATACTTCCATTCCTAAATTGGAAGGAGATCTGAAAGGCCCAAAAGTAGATGTTAAAGGCCCTACGCTGGACATAGATACTCCTGACATTGACATTCATGGTCCAGAAGGAAAACTGAAGGGTCCCAAGTTTAAAATGCCTGACCTGCACCTCAAGGCACCCAAGATCTCCATGCCTGAAGTTGACCTGAATCTGAAGGGCCCCAAGGTAAAGGGTGACATGGACGTTTCTCTGCCCAAAGTTGAAGGTGACCTCAAGGGCCCTGAAGTTGACATCAAAGGCCCGAAAGTGGACATTGATGTCCCAGATGTGGACGTTCATGGCCCAGACTGGCACCTGAAGATGCCCAAGGTGAAAATGCCCAAGTTCAGCATGCCTGGCTTCAAAGGAGAGGGCCCAGAAGTGGATGTGAACCTGCCCAAGGCTGACATAGATGTCTCCGGACCCAAGGTGGACATTGATGTTCCAGATGTGAATATTGAAGGTCCAGATGCAAAACTGAAGGGTCCCAAATTCAAGATGCCAGAGATGAACATCAAAGCTCCCAAGATCTCCATGCCTGACATTGACTTAAATCTGAAAGGACCCAAAGTAAAGGGAGATGTGGACATTTCTCTGCCTAAGGTGGAAGGTGACCTCAAGGGCCCTGAAGTTGACATCAAGGGCCCCAAAGTGGACATTGATGTTCCAGATGTGGACGTTCATGGCCCAGACTGGCACCTGAAGATGCCCAAGGTGAAAATGCCCAAGTTCAGCATGCCTGGCTTCAAAGGAGAGGGCCCAGAAGTGGATGTGAACCTGCCCAAAGCTGACATAGATGTCTCAGGACCCAAGGTGGACATTGATGTTCCAGATGTGAACATTGAAGGTCCAGATGCAAAACTGAAGGGCCCCAAGTTCAAAATGCCAGAGATAAATATCAAAACTCCCAAGATCTCCATGCCTGATGTTGACCTGGATTTGAAAGGATCCTTAGGCAAGGGTGATTTTGATGTGTCTGTTCCTAAGATTGAAGGGACTTTCAGAGGCCCAGAAGTAGACCTTAAAGGTCCATGTCTGGATGTTGAAGGCCCTGATGCCAAACTCAGTGGCCCACGTTTGAAGATGCCATCACTAGATGTATCTGCTCCTAAAGTAACTGCTCCTGACATTGATTTGCATCTCAAGACACCCAAAATTGGAATTTCTGGTCCCAAATTAGAAGGTGGTGAACTGGACCTCAAGGGACCCAAAGTTGATTTAGAAGCTCCAAGCTTAGATGTACACATGGAGAGCCCAGATATTAACATTGAAGGGCCAGATGTAAAAATTCCCAAATTTAAGAAACCCAAGTTTGGGTTTGGGGCAAAAAGCCCTAAAGCTGACTTCAAGTCACCTACACTTGATGTGACAGTTCCTGAGGCAGAGCTGAACGTTGAAGCTCCTGAAATTAGTGTTGGTGGCAAGGGCAAGAAAAGTAAGTTTAAAATGCCGAAAATTCACATGAGTGGGCCTAAAATGAAGGCCAAGAAGCAAGGATTTGATTTAAATGCTCCTGGGGGTGAAATTGATGCCAGTCTCAAGTCTCCTGACATAGACGTCAATGTTGCGGGGCCGGATGCCTCACTGAAAGTTGATGTGAAATCTCCCAAGACCAAGAAACCTATGTTTGGGAAAATGTACTTCCCAGATGTAGAATTTGACATTAAATCATCTAAATTTAAAGCTGAGGCATCTCTCCCTAGCCCCAAAATGGGGGGTGAAATCCAGGCGCCTGATCTGGATATTTCTTCACCAGGGATTAATGTGGAAGGTCCTGACATCAAGCTGAAGGCTCCCAAGATCAAGGCGCCAGGTGTTGATGTCTCAGGGCCAAAGATAGAGGGCGACTTGAAAGGCCCCAGGGTGCAGGCAAACCTGGACGCACCTGACATCAACACTGAAGGCCCAGATGCTAAAGTCAAAGCACCATCATTCGGCATTTCTGCCCCTCAAGTATCCATCCCTGATGTGAATGTTAGCTTGAAAGGACCAAAGATAAAGGGTGATGTCCCCAGTGTGGGACTAGAAGGACCAGATGTAGATCTGCAAGGTCCGGAATCAAAAACTAAGTTCCCTAAGTTTGCGATGCCCAAGATCGGCGTCCCTGGTGTGAAAGTGGATGGTGGGGGAGCTGAGGTCCAGCTGCCCTCTCTTGAAGGCGGCTTGAGCACAGCAGATGTCAAGCTTGAAGGGCCTGACGTGTCTCTCAAGGGGCCAAAAGTAGACTTGCCATCAGTGAGCCTCTCTACGCCAAAAATCTCTGTACCTGACCTTGACCTGAACTTGAAAGGACCAAGTTTGAAGGGAGACCTGGATGTATCTGTTCCCAGCATGAAGGTGCATGCCCCTGGGCTTGACCTCAGAGGTGTCGGCGGAAAGGTGAAGGTAGAAGGTGATGGTATGAAGGTGCCTGGAATCGATGCTACAGCAGCGCTTGACATTGGTGTGCCGGATGTGACCCTGAAAGGACCAAGCCTGCAGGGCGACCTGGCCGTCTCTGGTGACATCAAGTGTCCCTCGGTATCAGTAGGTGCTCCTGATCTAAGCTTGGAGGCACCTGAGGGTGGTATTAAACCTCCCAAGATGAAGCTGCCCCAGTTTGGCATCTCCACTCCAGGGTCTGACATGGACATCAACGTCAAGGGGCCACAGGTGACTGGAGAACTCAAGGGGCCTGGCATGGACATGAACCTCGGAGGCCTGAACCTGAAAGGGCCTCAGCTCTCTGGCCCTCAAATCTCAGTGCCAGATGTGGACTTGAACTTGGAAGGACCAAAAATAAAAGGCAGCCTTGGGGCCAGTGGTGAGATGAAAGGCCCCATGGTTGGTGTTCCGGGTATCAGTGTTCAAGGCTTAGAAGGAAACCTCCAAACGCCTGGAGTGAAGTCATCTGGATGTGATGTGGTGCTGCCAGGTATGAACGTGAAACTCCCAACCGGGCAGATTTCTGGTCCTGAAATCAAAGGTGACCTGAAAGGTTCAGGGATAGGTTTCCATGGAGCTGTTCCCGACATTGGCGTGAAAGGGCCTTCATTGAACGTGGCATCTCCTGAGTCAGATTTTGGTGTCAGCTTGAAGGGCCCGAAAATCAAAGGAGGCGTGGATGTTTCAGGAGGTGTCAGTGCCCCAGATATCAGCCTGGGCGAAGGGCACATGAGTGTCAAAGGTTCCAGCGGGGAGTGGAAAGGACCCCAGGTCTCCTCTGCTCTCAACCTGGATGCACCTAAGTTTGCTGGAGGACTTCATTTCTCAGGACCAAAGGTAGAAGGAGGTGTCAAAGGAGGCCAGGTTGGACTTCAGGGTCCTGGACTGAGCGTGTCTGGGCCTCAAGGTCACTTGGAAAGCGGATCTGGAAAAGTAACATTCCCCAAGATGAAGATCCCCAAGTTCACCTTCTCTGGCTGGGAGCTGGTGGGCAGAGAAGTGGGAGTGGATATTAACTTCCCTAAAGCAGAGGCCAGTGTCCAGTCTGGTGCTGGAGAGGGTGAGTGGGAAGAATCTGACGTAAAACTTAAAAAGTCCAAAATCAAGATGCCCAAGTTCACCTTCTCCAAACCTAAAGGGAAAGCTGGCATCACCGGCTCACCAGAAGCGTCTGTTTCGGGGTCCAAAGGTGACCTGAAGAGCTCCAAGGCCAGCTTGGGTTCCCTGGAAGGCGAGGCCGAGGTCGACACGTCTTCACCCAAAGGCAAATTCTCCTTATTCAAAAGCAAGAAGCCAAGCCACCGCTCAAATTCCTTCAGTGATGAAAGGGAGCACTCTGCCCCTACCACCCCCACGGGGACTTTGGAGTTTGATGGCGGGGAGGTGGTCCTGGAAGGCGGGAAAGTCAAAGGGAAACACGGCAAGCTGAAATTTGGTACCTTTGGTGGATTGGGGTCAAAGAGCAAAGGTCATTATGAGGTGACCGGGAGCGATGATGAGGCAGGCAAGTTACAGGGGAGTGGAGTGTCCTCGTCCTCTAAGAAGTCCCGACTGTCGTCGTCTTCTAGCAATGACAGTGGGACTAAGGTTGGCATCCAGCTTCCTGAGGTGGAGCTGACAGTTTCCACAAAGAAAGAGTAGCCAGCCTCTGTGTGTGTACATATCTGTATAGAACTCCATCAGCCTTGGGTGTGTTTGTATATAAACTCCAAAGAGAAACACGCCAACAGCCTCAGCAACGATGCAAAGATCTGGCCTCTGCCAGGGGCAAGTGCTGAAAAGCCAGCCGCCTTTTGGCTCCTCCCGGAGCTTTACAGATAGATTCCAAGTTCTTCGTCCAGCCCACGTGCAAAATCAGCAGTATTTGCCTTCAGATTTCAGTTTCTTTGTTTTGTTTTGTTTTCTTTTTTTGCATTGAATGCTGAGAGCTCCTGTTTACTAAGCCAGCTTTTGTGTTTATTATCTTCATTTTTACTGAACATTGTTAGTGTTGGGGTCATGGAAACCCACTTTTTTCATTGTAATGACTTTTGGGGGCTTTTGTTAGTAAGGGTGGGGTGGGGCAGAAGGCAGTAGAGGGGGGCCAGACCTTTATTTCTCCTACAATTGGGCCTACTCGAACAGCAAACACCCAAAGATGGCTGAGAGGAGCCGGCCGGCGGTCCGTGTGGGTGTTTCTAGAACTGGGTATCATTGCTTTTTGTTTCCCCAGGGGTGGCGGTCAGTCCCAGCCTTTTAGGTGCTCATGGGGGAGAGGGAATTAGAATCTCTTTGTAAATCAGGCCACCTACTCACTCCACACGAGGGCCTTCCATTCTCTGTGTTGTAAGAGAAATGTTTTCTTCGTGATCGCCACGTTCCTGATATTAGTTATGATTTCCTTTAACAAATGTTATTGTGATTAAGAAAATTTCCAGCACTTTAATGGCAAATTAATTGAGAATGTAAGAAAATTGATGCTGTCAAGGGCAAATAAAGCTGTTTATTAACCCGGATATCTTGTGCCTTTGCATTCTGTGTTGGCAGGATGAGGCCTGGGGAGGCTGCAGGCCCAGTCCTGACAGGTCGGACTGGGTCCACTTTGTGGCGTTGCTGGTTTGCATTAGTGGGTAGTGGGAGGGATTCTTTGCTTCTCGATTCTCACAATGAGGCTGATTGCACCACCGCTGAGAAATTGAGAGAGGCTGGGCATGTTGGCAGCCCAAACCTCAGGACCTTCCCGCCAATTTGGCATCCTCAGATAGGAATATACTGTACAAAAGTGATTCGGACATGAATGGATAAAAAGCCCTGTTAGAGTGACAGGAAAGGATCTGGCTGTGGGTCATAGGCCCACCCCCTGTTCCTGATGTGGCTGCGGGTTTGCTGACTGGCCTCATTACCTGCCATCCTGGGCCACAGTGTTCTCTCATTTGAAATAAGGGTGTTGATCTCATGTCATGTATCCTCATGATTCCTTCTAGGCCATGTGAGAGCTACACTTCATGAAAAAAATCTTCTGACAAAAGGTCCCCCCCTCCTTTTCTTTTTGGTTATGCCATGCAGCATTGTGGGATCTTAGTCCCCTGACCAGGGATCAGATCCGTGCCCGATACACTGGGAGCACAGAGTCTTAACCACTGGGCCACCGGGGAAATCCAAAAGGCCCTTTTGATTTCTAGTTCTGTGGACAATATGTGGTGGGTGGGGGAGCCTCTTAGAAACTGGTCCCTGACGTCCGTCATTGCTGGGCAGAGGGCGGTGCCTTCTTAGACCGAAATGGTCTAACCAAGCTTAGCCCCCTGGCCCTGTCTCAGAGTTGCCATCTTTCTGCCAGCGGAAGGAAGCTCTGTTCTCTGGTCACCCTCAGAATGGAGATGCCAGCTCCCACCCCTCCCACCCTCTCCAGAGCCAGTTTGTGGGTCTCTGTGCAGAGCAGTGGGGTCTCCTGCCCAGAGAGAACTCTACTTGCCCTCGCTTGGATTGCAAACGGGCCTTGACCAGCTTCACCCATTCACACCTCAGCCAGCAGAGTCTGTGTCCTTGGGGTGGGGGGGTTTGGAGCTCAAGGGTGAGTCTAGGTTTTGGAAAGGATAGGTAATAAGGGAGGCACTTGATTGCCTGTGGCTTTTAAATTTTTTATTTTTTTAATTTAAGTATTGCCAATTAACAATGTTGTGTTACTTTCAAGCGTACAGCAAAGTGATACGGTTATATACATATATTCTTCAGATTTCTTTCCCTTATAGGTTACTACAAAATGTTGGGTACTATCCCTCAGGTTCTTATTGGTGATCTATTTTATATATAATAGTGTACATCTGTCCATCTCAAACTCCTAATTTATCCCTCCCCTCCATGGCTTTTATAAAGCTGCTTTTGTGAACTGGGCAAGGATTTCCTCACCTGTTAAAACAGGGATAGCATCCACAGGACCAGAGTCTGTTCAGGTATTTGGGATGTCTGCAATGCAGGGGCACCACCTTTAAGTCTGTAGCTTTTGTGTCACAGCTGTGTTTGTTTATTGGGAGCACGAGGGTGGGCATGGAGTCCTAGAGAGGCAGGTGTGAGCCCTTGCAGACACTGAAAAGTTAGAGCGTGCACACCCAACTACATGCATTTGCCTTCTCACTGGGTCTGGGCATCCCACAAGTGCTCTTCTTATAACCACAGCTCAAAGCCCAATTCTCAGTCCTTCCTCCATTCTCAAGCTGACACGGGTGTGGGGGTGGGACAGAATGTGCATGCTGCCTGAGATACATGGCTCTTGTGTTTGGAGGGAGGTGAAGTGGGTGACAGTGGGGTGCCCTTGTGTACACAGCCAGGGGGATGCTCACTGGGATGCTGGAAAGATCTCCCAGGCAGAACTAAGCAGGCTGTCCAATAATATAGCAATTAAAAAGAAAAAAAAATTTTTTTTTCACTTGAGGAAGGGGTGATCCTCAAGGTGGCCCTCATTGTCCATTCATTCCACGAGTAGTTTTTGAGCATTACGTGGTTAGATGCTGTCCCAGCCCCACCTGGTTTCAGAATCCTCTGCCGACCTCTGCAGACCTAATGCTGTGATGGATGTGGGACACTGGTCTGCTCTGAACACTGGAAATATACTCACTTGTAAGCGAGGCTTCTACCAGGGATGACATGGGTGATGGTGATGGAGCCTGGACTTTCAGGGCGAGATCTCATTGGCTGGGACAGTCAGGGGTGGTGGGTCAGATGGGTGACGAACATGGCAATGGGCCAATCAAAGATGAGAAACTTCTCAGCCACCCTCCTCCCACATCAGGCCCAGGGTGGAGGCAGTGGTGGCCCCAGGATGGGGTCCATCCCCTCTGCAGTGACCATGACCACAGATGAGGGGGCATGTAGGAGGTGCCAGGGGCTGGAGAAGCATGTGGGGGGCCCATCCCAGCGGACTTTTCTTGGCTTGTCCTGCCTCACCACTCTGAGTTCCCCCTTCACTCTGTTCTTCTCACCTTCCCACCATTTACCCCTGCCCCCAGTCCCTGATGGGGATGGCCCGAGGTATTCCCCAAAGTCCTGTGGGGCCCAGATCCAGGAGGTTTTAATACTCTGCAGTCCCAGTGCCGGCATTCGAGGCCAAGGAGTGGCCTCGGGAGACCTGGACTGGGCGGGCCTGGGCTCCTCAGGGTCCTTGGTTGGAGCTCCAGGGCTGAGTCACAGCCCAGGGCCTGCAGCCTGTCAGTGCGCCTGGCTTTGGGCAGTGTGACTGTGGATGTGGCTCTGGGGACACTTGGAAAGTTCACTTATTTTGAAACGCATCCCGTGCTCACAAAAGGCAGCAAATATTTTTTGGTCACTCAAACTCACTTCTGTATGTGTCAGGGTCCCTCCCGGAAATGTAGTTCAAGATAGTTCAGCCACAGAGACTTTAATGGGGGCTCTTTATGCAGTAGTGGGCCAGGACCAAGAAGCCAACAAGGGGTGTGAGACCCGCAGGGCCAGCAGGAGGCTGGTGTTACCCCTGGACCTGAAGGGGCCTGGGAAGAGATGGTGTTCCTGGAATCCAGCCATGCAGGACCACAGCATCTGCCAGAACTGCCTGCCATGAGAAGCAGGAAGAAACACCCTGAGTTTTCCCCCTGCTGGTTGCTCATGCTGGAGGGCAAATGAGCCCAGGTGTTACAGGTAGAGCTATCAGCCTCCTGGAGGCACAGAGCAAGGCAGAGACGCAGGGAGAAAGAATCTGAGAGTGGAGGGCCAGATAGAGAACAACCAGGACAATGTCTTCATCTTCATTTTTCTGTTGGGCGAGTTTGACTTTCTATACATTGAGATTTCTTTGAATAGCCACAATTATGTGGGATATGTCTAAGATATGATCATAAAATACTATGACCATTTTTGTTTTAAGCACACACAGTTATACTTGGGAGACACTGCACTTACTTGTGTGAAAATTTTGATGTTAAGAATGTTTTAGTCCTCTCTCTTTAGGAACTGCTCTCAACATCACTTGTACCTTTGAAAAATTCCAGTTTCCTTGGAGAAGTACAGATCTTCCTCTCTTGAGGGCTGCAAATAGCCAAAGGGCCTGGAAGATACTCCAGGGCTCCTAGGACAGAATCCTGAAAAGAACACTGGACCTGGGAGTCAGTGGGATTCTCCATGACCCTGAAGAAATGAAGCCCCCCCGTTTTGAGCCTCGGTTTCCTTATTTCTAACGTGGATAAGGCATATATTCTCTAAGGCCCTTGCCAGTTCCAAGAGTCTCTGATCTTTACAGAAGCAAGGCTGGTTAATTACGTGGATAGGGCTGTTTGGGGTCAAAAGCAAGGCATGATTATAACGTAGTGCAACCAGTTTCCCCACATAAATTGTCTCCAATGTTTTGAGCAACAGCTATGTTGAAATACTGCTATGTTCCCAGTGTCCCAAAGCCAAAGTACTGCACCCCCAAGACTCTGCATGTCGCTGGCACATGTGTCTCATTTCTTGAGTCCCATCTTACCTCTCTGGCATCACGCTTCAGCTGTGATGTGAGAGGTGCAGCTAAGCATGTGAATGATTTTTTTTAAAAATGGATTTATTCACTTTAAACCTATACAGAAATTGCAAGAATGACACAGTGAATATCCATATAACTGAGACTTGCCTGGCCGTCCAGTGGTTAAGATTCTAGGCTTCCACTGCAGGGGGCA